TTCTCATTGTATAAATTTAAATCCTGAAAATAATATGCGAGGAGCTGGAGAGTTGGCTCAGCAGTTGAGACTGCTTGCTGCCCTTGCAGAGGACCCAGGTTTGGTTCACAGCACACACACAGTGGCCCACCGTCATCTGTAACTTCAGACCCAGGGGACTGAATGCCTTCTTATGACCTCTCCAGGCACCAGGCATGCATAGAGTGCATTTACATGCATTCAGGCAAAACATGTCACATATAAAATTAAAACAAGTAAATCTGAGCCCACCCTGGTGGTGCACACTTTTAATCCCAGCACTCAGGAGGCAGAGCTCTGTGAGTTCAAGGCCAGCCTGGTCTACAGAGTGAGTTCTAGGACAGCCAAGGCTACACAGAGAAAAGCCAAAATAATAATAATAACAACAAATCTTTAAAAAGTAAGATTGGGTGAGAAAAAAGAACATTATTGGGGAAAGGCAGCAAGATTTTGAATGTGTCTACAAAGTTAGAAGATGCTGGATCAATGTCTACAAGATGAGATGATGCTGGATCAATTTGTGCTTCCTGATTTCCTTGCTGAAGTCAGATGCCAGCATGTGTGAGGAGTCAGTGAAGTCGTGAGTGAACGTGTGCTGTTGACATGGGCACAGCCATGCCAAGGACTCCAATGCATCAGCCCCTTGGGAGTGGCAAAGCCTTGCCTAAGTGAGGCTCAGAGAGATTGTAACACCTTCCTCTGTTCCAAGTGCAAATGCTAACGGTGTGTGCAGACAATGTCTATCATAGTTTTCTCCCCCTGGATATTTATGGCCTGAAGACTGCTTCCTACAGACACCGTCCCTCCTGCCTCCTTGTTTATTGGTATGCAATAACCCCACCTCCCTGTTCAACCATATAAAATAAATACATGGAGCTTCTGGGGGGGGGGCTTTGGCTCCTGCATCCGAGAGCCAAGCCCCCCCAACCCCAGCTTATCTGTCTGTCTTCTCCTCCTTCTCTCAATGTTACTGTAGTCAGGTCAGCCCCTGGAGCATGCCGGATGTGGCAAGGATGTTCCTGTTTTTGTTGTTGTTTGTTCCATTTTTGTTTGTTTTGAGAGAAGGGTTCTCGGTATAGTCCTGGCTGCCCTGAAACTCACTTTGTAGACCAGGCTGGCCTCAAACACAGAGATCTGCCTGTCTCTGCCTCTCCAGTGCTGGGACTAAAGGTGTGCTTTTAGTCTGGCTTTCCCCCCCCAATGTGTGGTGGTGTGTACGGGCGCACACAAAGGGCCTCAGATGTCCTGCTCTGTCACTGCCTTATTCTAACCTTGAGACAAGTGTCTCTCACTAAGCCTGGAGCTAGGCAAGCTACCATCAAGCCCCCCGAATCCTCCCATCTCTGCCCTCTACAGCACTGGGGTTACAGGTGTGTGGGTACAAACATGCCCAGCTTTTTACATGGGTGCTAGGCAACCAAGACCATCTGAACCATATCCCTAGCCCTTGTTTTTTGTTTGAGAAAGTGTCTAGCTGCGCAGTCCAGATGGGCCTTGAATTCATGATACTCCTGCTCTGGCCAGCCCATGACAGAATTATAGGTATGAGCCACCATACCCAGATGGGAATGTTTTTGTTTTAAAGAGATACGTGATGGAATGTTTGGGTGGGGAGGGGTGTTGTGCCCCTGACTGACTCCAAATGATCCACAGAAATGGAGTCATAGCCCAGGGGAGTGAAACAGAGCCCCAGACTTTGGTACAACTGGCTCCATGATGGAAGTACCATTCAGGCCATGAAACTCGGCATGTGGACAGCACCACCTGCCAAAACTAAAACAAAGGCCTGATCCATCCAAGCCTATAGTTCTGGGAAAGTCTCTAAATGTACTAACCTTGCCTTTTGGCTTCTGTAGTTCTGCTCTGGCTAACTGATCTTGTTAACTAAAATATGGATATGGTTTTTGTGCTTAAAAGCTCACCCCGGGAAAGGCTCAGGGCTACACTGGGATCCTGAACACCCAGTGGCAGTTGTCAGTCAGCTAATGAAGACTTTCTATTGGCTTAATGTCTGAGCAGTCTTCTCTGGTGAATACCCTACAACCGGCAGAGGGGCAGAGTGAGGTAATACATGAGGCTAAGGGAACACTGGGTCATGGCCTTCCCTCAACCTCTCTATTGGTTTGAAGTTATTTCCAAATAAAACGAATAGTAACCGGGTTTGATGGCGCACACCTTTAATCCCAGTACTCAGGAACCAGAGACAAGTGGATCTCTGTGAGTTTGGGGCCAGCCTGGTCTGTATGGTCAGATAGAAAGAGAAGAGGGCCGGGCGGTGGTGGCGCACGCCTTTAATCCCAGCACTCGGGAGGCAGAGCCAGGCGGATCTCTGTGAGTTCGAGGCCAGCCTGGTCTCCAAAGCGAGTTCCAGGAAAGGCGCAAAGCTACACAGAGAAACCCTGTCTCGAAAAAAACCAAAAAAAAAAAAAAAAAAAAAAAAAAAAAGAAAGAGAAGAGGAGGAGGAGGAGGAGGGGAGGGAGAGGAGGAGAGAGGAAGGAGAGGAGGAGGAAGAGAACTGAGGTTATCACAACATAGGTGAACCTCAAAGACATTGAACCACACATAGAAGGCCACACACCACACTCGTGTGACTACATTGACATGGAATGTCCAGAAACCAGAGTCAGAAGTGGGGTGGCAGCTGACAGGTGTAGGGGTCTATGCAGAGTGTATAGATGAAGAGGACTAAATGCCCCTTGTTTACTTGAAAAGGGGGGATGGGGAAGTGATGTCATTATATTTTAATTCTTAAAGGTTTAAAAAGAAAAAAGGTGAGATTTTGAACCAGGAGGTGGTGGTACACCTCTGTCATCCCAGCACTCGGGAGCTGAGGCAGGAGTTCAAGGCTGTCCTAGGCTACACGGTAGACACTGTCTCAAGAAAAAAAAAAGCGAATCTTCTCTGGTGCTAATTTCACCTTGATGTGTGTATGTATGGTTGGGTGTGCATACACAGATATGTATGTGTGGCCAAGGGCTCGGGGAGGCCCGAAGTTAGGCATCTGCTGTCTTCTCAACTGTTCTCCATGGTTTTTGTTTTGGTTTTTCGAGTCAGAGTTTCTCTGTGTAGCCCTGGCTGTTCTGGATCTCGCTCTGTAGACCAGGCTGGCCTCGAACTCACAGAGATTCACCTGCCTCTGCCTCCCGAGTGCTGGGATTAAAGGCGTGCGCCACCACACTCAGCCTCTCCACTTCACTTTTAAAACATGGTCTCTCACTGAACCCTGAGCTCACCAATTTGGCTAGACTAGCTAACCATGGAACCCCAAGGATGCCCCCTGTGCCGGGATTACTAACACTCGCCACCATGCCCAGTTTTCCCGAGTTCGGGTTAGAATTCAGGCACTTACGCATGCACGTCAAGCAGCCAGTGGGCTCTCCCAGAGCCCTTTGCCTTGATGTTTCAGCAAGAGCTGTCTTTTGAAGATTTTTGTTGTTGGTATGTGTGTGGGTGTCTTGGTGCCCACGGAAGCTAGAAGAGGGTGTCTATCTGGTACTGGAGTTGACAGATGGCTGTGAGCCACCACTTGGGTGCGTCCTCTGGAAGAGCAGCCAGGGCTCTCTTAACTCCTGAGCTCTCTCTCCAGCCCCGTGCACTGTCTTCTGTCCTGCTCCGTCACACATCCACACATATGAAGCAGCGGTCCTGCCCTCCCTACTCGGCTCACTTTCGCAGCTGACACCTCTTTATTGCTGTATCTGAACACTGGTACCTGGTGTGCACTGCTTAGCAGTCCATGACCTCAGTGCTGATTCACCCCAATGGCCGCTCTGCCAATGCACCCCTCCCTTGGGTGCTCTGAGTCCCAGTGGGCAGCCCTTGGCAGGGATCTATGTGTATCCACATTTTGGGTTGTTGGCTCGAGTGTAAACACCCTGCCTGAGCATCGTCTTATGGACTACCTCACTAATGTCCCTAGTGACCAATAGGGACATTCTGTCCATCTCACAAAGCCTGGCTTGAGATTCCTTCTAAATGACAGCCAAAGGCAAAAGTTTCTGAGGTGTGGGCAACTGAGTGCTGAGCCTTTCTCCGAAGGAAAGTCCCTGGCAGCATGGGCCCCACTCTGCAGTCGGCAATCACCCCAAGTTTCTGAAATCAGATCTGGCACTCGGATGTGGCCTGCCAAGTCTCCTTCCACGCTGTCTCTCCTATGTTCCCACTTTGGTGTCTCAGCAGAGACCTTTTTGGAGCAGACAGCACCAAGGAACTAACGCACTTTCTGTTAACGAAAGGGAATGGGGAGGCTGAAGCAGGAGGTTGCTGTATGTGCAAGGCTAGCTAGCCTGGGACACAGTAAGTACTAGGTGAACCTGGGCTATGAAGTGAGACTCAAAAAGAAAAAATTCTTTTTTGTTTGTTTTTGTTTTTTCGAGACAGAGTTTCTCTGTGTAGTTTTGGTGGCTGTCCTGGAACTCACTCCATAGATCAGGCTGGCCTCGAACTCACAGAGATCCACCTGGCTCTACTTCCCTGAGCGCTGGCATTAAAGGAGTGTCCACCGCCGCCTGGCCAGGAAAAATTCTAAAAACCTAAGCAGGTGACTCAGTCAGTAAGGTGCTTGCCATGCAAGCATAAGACACAGTTTGATCCCCAGAACCTGATTGTACCCACAAGCTGGGCATGGGGGCACTCAATTGGAGTCCCACTGCTTGAGAGGCAGAGGTAGGAAAATCCCCGGGGTTCGTTGGCTAGCCAGCCTAACCTAGTCAATGAGGCCTGGGTCCCAGTGACAGTCTGTGTCTCAAAAACCAAGAAGGGCTTACGAGATGACTCAGCATCGGGGAAAATCGCCTACTGTCAAACCCGGGGACCCGAGTTTGCCCTGGGACCCAACCAGCTCCAGCAAGTTGTCCTCTCTCTCTCCCCCTTTAACACACACACACACCCCACAGATAAAAAGTTGTGTGGAAAGTGCTCATCAGCTAAGCTCTGCCCCAGAACAGAGCCAGGCCACCTGAGCAAACGCCTCTAGTCTCACCTGGTCCCCCACTTTGTGGGCTATGACGGTGGCCCCTTCCTCCAGTTCTGCACTGTTGAGTGGACGGATCCGAAGCGCCACCTGTGGACAGGGCACAGGCAGCACCAAGATCCTCAGCAGGACTCCATTTCCCATCCTCAGTCTCTGTGCTCTCAGTGAGGGGGTAGCCTTACCCTCATTCAAACCTAGACCCTAGTTGCATGGAGCTGCCTCCCAGAAGGGCTCTGAGGGATTGGTGGTGATGTCACGGCCATGGAACAGAGAGAAGAGGAGCAACTTGCCCAAGGTCACATAGCTGTCTGTTTTAGCTGTGCTCAGAAAGGAAACCTACCTGCACCTTCCAGCCCTCTATGAGCATTCAGGAGAAGGCACCTGGGCTTTGCATGTCCCTCAATTCTGCCCAGCCCATATGTAAGGGTATCTTCGATGGTACATAGACGACAAGGGGCCAGTCTCTCTCTTAACCAGACACAGGTGCCAGGGGGGCTGTAATACAGTTCATCCCTAGGCTGAGTGGGACAAGGAGACTGACAGGAAGCGGTCTGCCCCACAGCTGGGGTCATAGTCCAGGGCCTGGGCTTTCTGAGGATAGAGGACCACAGAGTAGGATACAGGGGTAAGAGTGTGTGTACCACTGGGTCCCAGGAACGTCGGAACCAGGAGTGGGGCACTGGTCTTTAAAGGATCCACGAGTATAGGGTTTGGGGCTTCTTTGCAGGTATAGAGGCAGGAAGGGGCTGGAGTTAGCAGGGGACACGAGGGAGGGTACTCACCATGAGCTGCTGGTCCTTGGGTTCCATCTCCCTCAGGGCTGGGCTGCCCCGGGCTGGAGAGGGGTCTGCGGTCTGGTGGGAGGGCATGCTGCAGGTCAGAACTGGAGGTCCCCAGCTAACATAGCAGAGTCGGAGGCAAGGAGATCTTCCCAGATCAGCCCCGCCCTGCTCCGCTCCCCAGGCTCACTCTGGTGACATCAGCTGGGTCCCCAGAGGTGGGGCTGGGCCAGCATTGAGCTCATTTACTAACCTGGTGTCACCCCTACCTGTCTCTTTAGCCAGGACAGCCCTCATGGTTTGAGCAGTCCCCAAGCAGCCAGACAGACCTCACAGATGACATGATGAGGACCATGACAAGAACCCTGTTCAGCTTGTCTCTAGTTCTCTTGCACCACAGAAGCCTCTAGTCTAGAGATAAGCCCACCTTAGAGAACCCTGCAGCATGGTGCCCTTCTCACCTAAGCCCAGGAGCAATGGTCACCCACACAGTGGCCACCTCAGAACAGCAGGTCAGTTTGTGGCTTCCCTCCCTCTCAAAGGGACAATACAGCAACAGATGAAATCAAATGAACCAATTTCAGCTGTCAGCGACCTTGCCAGGGTCTTTCATAGATGACCAAGTTTCTGGTACAATTTCCAGCCTGCGGTGTCTTGTCTGAACACCCAAGAGGGATTAAGGATGGAGCTGGTGGATTTACTGCCTCACCTCTTCCATGGGATCCCCGAGGATGTCCAGCTCTGTGAACTCCCCAGCCCGGCCAAGAAGACTGCACCAGCAATGTCACACAGGTAACCTGGGGTGGCACAAGCTGTTAAGAGCCAGGCTTGGGGACTGGAGAGATGGTTCAGCAGGTAAAGGCACCTGCCATGAAAGCTGACGACCTAATTTCCATCCCTGGGATCCACAGAGTGTAAGAATCAACTCCTGCAAGTTGTCTTCTGACCTCTGTATGCATACACACAATGTATGTAAAAACAAACAAGCCGGGTGGTGGTGGCGCACGCCTTTAATCCCAGCACTCGGGAGGAAGAGCCAGGCGGATCTCTGTGAGTTGAGGACAGCCTGGTCTACAGAGCGAGATCCAGAACAGGCACCAAAACTACACAGAGAAACCCTGTCTTGAAAAACAAAAAAACCCAAACAAAACAAAACACCCAAACAAATAAACAAAACAAATCTGTAAGAGCCAGGCTCAGGAGCTGTTCAGTGGGTAGAGGTACTTTGCCCACAGGCCTGGAGACCTAAATTCAATTCCTGGGATGCACATCATGGAAGAAGAGCTTTCTGTAGGTTCTCCTCTGACCTCCACAAGCATGCACAGCATGCACACATACATACAAAATACTATGAAATAAAAACTATTTTTTAGCCGGGCGGTGGTGGCGCACGCCTTTAATCCCAGCACTCGGGAGGCAGAGCCAGGCAGATCTCTGTGAGTTCGAGGCCAGCCTGGACTACCAAGTGAGTTCCAGGAAAGGCGCAAAGCTACACAGAGAAACCCTGTCTCGAAAAACCAAAAAAAAAAAAAAAAAAAACACTATTTTTTAAAAAAAAGAGCCACGTTTACCTGGGAGGTGGTCCACACCTTTAATCTCAGCACTCAGGAGGCAGAGGCAGGTGGATCTCTGTAACAAAAAGTTACAGACTGATCCTATGGAACCCAAACTTAGGCTTTCTGTGAGGACTCTGCCTAGGGCTCAAGCTAACGGCACAGGGTCATGGGAAACTTTAAGGCTCCCCTGAAGCAAATCCCACCCTCTCTCAGAAATCAAACCAGTTTAGCTGTGTGAGGCCATAACTACCACTCCTTAGGTCACATTCCTTCTCTTCCTTAGCATCTGGGTCAACCTTGGGCATCAGGAGATGTTTGCCACAGGGCAGGGAAGGGATTAGGGCCCAAGGAAACACAGCTCCCCCACTATCCCCCAGCCTCCAGGAGCCAGGGTGAATCCCACCCATGCTGAGCCCTGAGCACAGGCTGTCCTGAGGCAGGAGCCTTCCCTAAACTCCAGCTGCACCACAGAAGACAGGAAACAGGGCTTCACAAATTCTCTCACTTAGAAATCACAGAAAACAATCACAACCAAGTTTCAAATAGCGAAAAGCTTATCACTATTAAGAACCTTCCGATGTACAGTGGGCGGTGGTGGCGCACACCTTTAATCCCAGCACTCAGAGGCAGCAGAGGCAGGCAGATCTCCGTGAGGTTGAGGCCAGTCTGATCTAGAGTGAGTTCCAGGACAGCCAGAGCTATCACACAGCAAAACAGTCTTGAAAAACCCAAACCAAAACACCTGCAAATGTGCTGTATCTGTGTGCCTTTTCATCGCACTGCTGTGAAACTCGAAAAATATGTTTAAAGAGCATGGGAGTGGCCAATACCCGGGGTAAGCAACCATGATGGAACCTCAGAGAGGCCAAAGGAACAAGGACTCTAAGACCCAGGAGGAGAGGTGAGCCACCTCCCAAGGATGATGCATACAAATCACCAATCTTTGTCTTCTCCCATTATCTGTGGCAGCCTGACCTCTGCTGGAGGTACATGCTCTGCAGACATACCACGGCTGTGGGCCCAGCCTGGGGTGGCTCTCTGGTCACAACAGATGCAGAGGAAGGCTGTGTAGAGCATGGCCACAGCTCACCCTGGGTGGAGGCCATCTATACTAGTTTGTTGTCTTCTCTACTGGACACTAGGTAACTGCAGAGAGGTGTGTGTCTAAGTGGCTGACCCCTCTATATCTGTTTTCCAACTTGTCCAATTCTGGCAAACCCAAGGGTTCTGTGGGGTGAGATGATGAGCATTGTCTCACAGAAACAGATGGAAGACACTGTATCTGGGATCCGGTACACTAGCTCCTGACTAGGTTTCAGACAGGCTCTCAACAAGCCAGGAGCAAGTGTGCAAACACCCTCACCCCAGGGAGAGGGAATGGGCAGGCCTCCAGGCCACTGCGAACTGCAAAGAGGAGACAACATTTCACACAGGGTTGCTTTTATTTCCACATCCAACCTGCGCAGAGGCCCTGCCACAGCCCGAACAGGCGTGAGGTGCTGGGGTGCCTCCAGAGTCACTGGCGCAAGCACGTGGTGGGCATGTAGTCCCCCTGAAGGTCTCCAGGCCACGCGCAGGACAGTAAGTCCGTGGATGGGAAGGAAACCCACTGAGCGGCAGGTGGAGGCTCTGGAAACACCTCGGGCAGCAGCAGGAGAAGGAGCCACCAGGAGCACTGCACTGAGGCCCCACAGCAGACACGGCATAAAAACCCACACGGCAAATGTGAGCGGAGCCTCGAGTGTCCCCACTGTGGACCCAGGGGCTGAAGGCACAGAGCTGTGTCGGGATGGAAGAAGCCCGGGCGCACTCGCAGTCCAGAGTAAGAAAGCACAATGAGAACCCAGCCCGAGGGAGGCTTCTGTGAAGGGCGGCCTCGGATCCTGGGCGCGGCACAGTGACACTGCAACAGACCAGGCACCATTTAGTCAGCCACCAGCAAGGGACCACAGCGGGAGTCTTCACCGACCACACTCCAGGCCGAGAGGCAGTGCCTCAGGCCGAGAGCGGGCCTGGCTGTCAATGGCACCCACATCACCCCAGCTTAGCTCTCAAGGTTCCTCCAGGGAACCCAGCACCACACGCAGGCAAACACTCACTCCTGGAACTGTGGCCTGTACCAACACTACCGACACGGGGACAGTGTCGTGCCCAATCACGCTTCTTGAGCACAGCCTGCCCTTGTGCCAGCCCCCACTTCTTCCAAAGCTTCCTATCAACCACCAGTGGTGGCACTACCATCTTCCTGAGGTGTCTTCCATGTGTGGTCTAACAAGCAGCCAGACACTCAGCAGGCATTCATTCCTGTCTTCACGTTCACAAGTCTTACCACAGTGCTGAGGTCACTCTTGACTTCCCAGAGGAATGACCTCCTCAGTGACAAAAAACTCGATGGTCTCCTCCTCCCAGTCATCCACGTTGCTGTCCAGCTCGTCAGTGTCCACCCCTGAGAAGACAGAGAAGGCTGACCCCTGGGACGCAATGCCAGCTGCAGGCTTAGTCCACACCCTTGAGGGACCACTCCACCTGGAGACAAGCCCAGAAGCTTGGTTACCTCCCCGTAGTTCTAGACGCTCGGTCTTCTGCTTCATGTAGAGTTCCTGGGCCATTTTTCGGTATTGCCGGAAGTCTTCCATCATGGTCCGCCTTCTTTCCACCAGTTCCTATCATGTGGGGAAGGTTGCAGGGCTGAGCAGGACACATTTGCTCAGCCACAGTGACCCGCTCTGTGTCTAGCAACCATTGTTGAAGTTCGGAAGAGGGCAAGCAGAGCTTTGTGTGCTGGGCAAGCCTTCCAGGGAACCTCCCTTAAAGGAGACCCCCATTTCTCTTCCCGATTCCATTCCCTCCTGCTTCTATCAAGGAAAAGCCAGCCTCTCCCTCGTGTTAGTGGCTGTTGGTTCCAAGAACCAGTGCTGACCCTCTGCTCCCCATTGCTAGCTGCCCCCTCACATGTGGGAGCACAAGCCAGCCCAGGGTCCTGGCACACACCTCTCACTACTGCCCAGGCCCAGACAGGGATGGGCTCCGCGAGCGCCCCCTCAGGCTCACCTTTGATGCTTTGGACTGACTCAAGCGATCCTTCTGCTCGAAGATCTTAGAGTATTTCTTCAGATCCTTTTTAATTTGCTGAAACCAAGACAAGTCTCTCAGGACTGAACCTTCAAAGCAAGGACTGCAACTGCTGCCTTCAAAGATGCCAGTGTACACTGACAGCCTCCAGGACTAACAGGATTCAGCCCCAGGGCACCAGCATGCCCGGCTGGGGAATCTCATTTCATGGAGATGATTCCTAGGGTGAGTCACTCCCAGTTCTGACATACTATATCACAAGCCTACCCATTACCTAACCCCTCCTAGCTCTTCCAAACCCACTGGGACTTATTTTACAACCTGTGTGGCTTAGGCAGACTCCTGGGTTTTTGGAGAGTGGGGAACAGACAGGAAGCATAGAATCATCTTTTTGCTTTACAGCAGAGTCTGGCAAGAACTCACAATCCTCTGCCTCAGCCTACTGAGTTTATAGGTATTGCCTAGCCTGCAAGTTTAGAGTTAGTGCCTGACACTGCTTCAGGTCAGGTCTCAC